CCTTATTATATTTATAGTATAAGATACCCCAAAACCCTATTCCAATTACTATTTTGGGGGGTTCCTTATTTTCCTTATTATATTTATAGTATAATATATCCCAAAACCCTATTCTAATTGCTATTTCTGCAGGTTCCTTATTATATTTACAGTACAATATATCAACAAACCCTATTCTCATTATTAAGGCCCCTATATTGGAAGGCTTCCATGGAGCCGGAACGAACTGGCTTGCAGGGTTAACGGCGTTGCTTGGAGGCGAAGACCTCTCAATTGGATTCAATTTCGTTTTGAGATCTCTGAGCATGCGCAACATCTCAATTTCGGCTCCGAGCCCCCAAACCCAAAAGCCCTAAACCCCCTAGTAAACCACCCATCAGCTCCCGCAGAACCCTTTAAGGAACCCTTTAAAGGACCTTAGAGGAGCCCCCCAAAGCCCTATGATTAAGGCCCCATACATCCTAAAACCCCAAAGCCCTAAACCCTAAAACCCTTAAAGCCCTAAAACCCAAAAGTCCTAAAGCCCTAAACCCCTAGTAAACCCCCATCAGCTCCTATTTTCCAAAGCTCCCGTAGAACCCTTTAAGGAACCCTCCTTCTAGAACCCTTGAAGGAACCCTTTAAACGAACCCCCAAAACCCATATTCGAATTACCCTAAACCCCTAGTAAAATCCCATCAGCTCCTATTTTTCTGAAGCTCCGAGGTCCAACTTACCCCTTAATTTTTGGTTTATACTTTAAGTCATGATCTGGATTATAGGGGCCTTGATATCCTAGACCCTAAACCCTAAACCCTAAACCCTAAAACCCTAAACCCTAAACCGTGCTTTAAGGTATATTTCCATTTTTCCAAAGCTCCCGTAGAACCCTTGAAGGAACCCTCCTTCTAGAACCCTTTAAGGAACCCCCAAAACCCATATTCTAATTAATTTTTCCAAAGCTCCGAGGTCCAACCCTAAACCCTAAAACCCGAAAGTCCTAAAACCCGCCAAACCCCCACCAGCTCCTATTTTCCAAAGCTCCGAGGTCCAATGGTCGCAAAGTATGGGCCAGGTCACACTGCGCCCTTCCGCACTTGGAGGGCGCTGCTCTGTTTTTTTGTTTTATCGGAGTTTAGGGTTTAGGGTTTAGAGGTTTTCTTGGGTTTTTTTAAATGAGGGTTTTGCTCTGTTTTTTTTATCGGATTTTTATTAGGGTTTGTATAGGGTTTTCTCGGATTTTTGTGTGAGGGTTTCAGGGTTTCTGGGCTTTTTGGGCTTTAGGAGCTTTTGGGTCTTTGGGTTTTGGGGTTTTGGGTTTTGGGGTTTGGGAGTTTCAGGGTTTAGGGTTAAGGTGTCAGGGTTTCGACGCTTGGGCATTGGCAGTGCAAGGAGGATATCAGAAATCCCTAAACCCTCAGCCCCAAACCCTAAACCCTAAACCTCAAACCCTTCGGATCCTCGGGAGGTTGAAAAATTTGTTTCCTTGGGGCATCGTGGGGTTTGGGTCTTGGATCTGCAAGACGAACCCAGGAGCCCAATACCCCTTAATTAAGGAATATACCTTTAATCATAATATTAAGGCCCCTTTAATTTAATGGCTATTTCTTATTTAAGGGGTTTGGGCTCTCTGGGAAGCTATCGAAGAAAGGTTTGGCGCAAGAGCAGCGGTACCCGAACCTGTCCTGCTTGCAATGTGGCCGTATCAAGCTGACAGCGGCTACGAAGAATCACGGCAGAAGGACTTCGTCGTCATGGTGTCTCCATTGAAAATCATAGTAACACTGAAACCCTAAACCCTAAACCCTAAACCCTAAATCCTACACTTGCAACAATCCGCTCAGGGTCCTCGAGCTCAAAGCACGGAAGTTTGGATCAGCCCGATCCCTGCTATAAGGGCTTAGGCCTTGGGAGACAAGGCTCTAATCCAGGGCTCGGAACAAAGCGTAATCGACGTAACTCTAGCCCCTTATGGCCCCTTATATGATTACAAAACAACATAATGACATAACTACCCCTATAAATAAATAAATAAAGACATAAGTAAATAAATAAATAGATAAATAAATAAACAAATATATATATATATATATATATGTATATATATATATATGTATCTATATATATATATATATATCCCACCCCAGAACTCTTCTAACTCATCCCAACAATATCCCATTATGTTCCCTTCATAGCTATGTTACGCCATACCCCCCGAAAGCCTGCTTTGAGTTCTTACCCAGAGAGCCCAATACCCCTTAAATAAGGAATATACCTTAAACTATAGGGACCTTAATATTATTATTTCAGGTATATATTCCTTACTTAGGGGGTATTGGGCTCTCTGGGAACCCTAAACCCTAAACCCTAAACCCTAAACCCTAAACCCCTAGACCCCAAACCCTAAACCCTAAACCCCCAGCTTGTTTCAATGTCTGAGGACCCACCGACTCGAGGGCATCCTCGAGGATCGCCGGGAGTGGTCCAGTGAGGACGTGAAGGCCGGAGGGCTCCTTTCTTAAGGGCTTTGGGTTTAGGGTTTTGGGTTTTGGATTTTGGGTTTAGGATTTTGGGGTTAGGGTTTAGGGTTCCCAGAGAGCCCAACTTACCCCATAATTAAGGAATATAGACCTTAAATCATCATATGAAGGCCCTAAACCCTAAACCCTAAGGCCTAAACCCTACACCGGCCCCTATAATTTAAGGTATATTCCTTAAGTAAGGGGTATTGGGCTCTCTGGGTTTCTCTTTGGATCTAGGACCTCGGGTTGGGAGGTTCTGGGTGTTCTGAATGTAGGGCTAGGGTTTAGGGTTTAGGGTTTACTATGATAGGTTAAGAATTTTGAAGAGGGTCCTACAAGGGTCTGATGAGGGTTCTAGAAGGGCTTCTTTTTGGGGTGTAGGGTGATGGATTAGGGCTTGGAGGGGTTTACATTCTTATATACTTGGAGGATCATGGGACTTAGTAACTAAGGTTATAAATATGGTAACTATAATTATAACCCCAATTAGGGTACTTATAACCTTACTTACTAAGTCCCATGATCCTCCAAGTAGGGTGTTCGGCTTCGGGCTTTAGGGCATTTATGCGGTTGTACGGCGCAACTCATTCCGAGGTCCTCCAACGGCCGACGTCTCTGACCAAGCCCTAAAGCATAGTCTAGGGGACATAACAATAAGAATAGGGTTTTGGGGCCCATGATACTATAATTATGGTAAGGAAACCACCAAAATAGTATTGGTAAT